ACCGCACAAGCCTGGCCCCCACGTCCCAAAGAGCCCGTACCTGAGGCAGTCCCCAGGCCTGGGGAGGCAAGGGGTGTCTCTGACCCTCAAGTCTCAGAAAATGTAGCTGTCTGGCTATCTCCATGGGGACAAAGAACAGAGGTGACTCCGGCCAAGTTGGCTCATCTGTTTGTAGTTCTCTAAGGGCTTGATAGGTCAGGACCAATTCTGTCGGGGACTCTGGGGCCTGGAGCGTAGAGGATCCGGGGAGACGGCCACAGGGTGGTCCTGTCTAGAGAGATCGGGACGGAGGGCCGGGAGTTCAGACTTACTGTCCTGGCATCGAGACTAAACCCCTGTGACACCGTGGGCGAAGGCTGCACTCAGCTCTCTGTTCGTCCCGTAAATGTCTGTTTGGCCCTTTCCCAGAAGCAGACCCTGCAACCAGGATTCTAGTGCAAGCAGTTTATTTCCTTTTTTATTTTCTTTATTGAATCTAGAGGGGCGGGGGGAAGAAGGGAGAAGGAGAGAAACGCTGATGTGAGAGAGTGCATCACTCAGTTGTCTCTCAAAAGTACCCCGACTGGCGACTGAACCCACAACCCAGGCGTGTGCCCTGACCCGGAATCAAACCCGTGACCTTTCAGTGCGCAGGACGATGCCCAACCCACTGAGCCACACCGGCCAGGGCACAAGTAGTTTATTTTCAAGGGGACTCAAGGGAGCACCAGCAAGGGAGGGAGTAAGACAGGAAAAGGAAGGTGCCCAATCAAGGTTCATGAGCAAACAGATTCCACTCTGGGTGCAGGGAGCCAGTGTGAAATGTACTGCTCAGTCATTCCCCGCAAAAGGCAAGAAGCTGGAGTATTTATTCACGCACCAGTTCCCATCAGCCCCTGGCTCAGAGCTGTTGCCAGGGCCTGTTACTACCACAGCATGTCTGCCCCACTGCACAGGCAGCGCAGAGGGCTCTAGAGGCCAGGAGAGGCCGGTTGGAAGCGGAGCCGTAAGCACTGACGTGGCCAGGGTCAGGGACAGGCGAGGGCGCTAGCAATGCCTACCACCCTGTCTGTGCAAAGCACCTTACAGGCTACAAACATGGGCAGGATGCAGCCCCTGCCCGTGGGAGGCTTCTCCGGGTTTCACTCAGTCGGATGGGGGGACCGATCTGCCCTTCCCATGCAGTGAGGGACTGCGGTGAGAGCCATCGGTCGGGCAGTGCTATGTCAGGTCACGGTGACGGGGCAGGTGCCCAGCTCCCAGCACTGTGCTCTTTACCTGCCCTGAGACAGGTCAGTCGGGACGAGTCTGGTACGACTGTCTGCACCACCTTGGTGCAAGAACGAAGTTGCTATCACTTCCAGTTGAGCCCCAAGTTTTCTTAAGCATCTCACATGCCAGTTCCAAACCAGCTGGACAGAGAAGCAGCGGGTCCCCAGGTCAGAGAGAGCTGGGGTGGAAGCCTCGTGTTCTATGAGCTCAGAAAGTTCTCCAAAGTGTCCGTAGAGTTGAGCTCCTTCTCTACAACTGGAATAATTTGTGCCAATTCCTATGCCAAGCAGTCACTCACGTACCCCTCACGCACACACATATACACACATGCACCCACACACACACGTGCACTGGGGACCAACTTCTAAGAAAAACAAGACACTATTCTTAAAAATCGTGAGCATTTAAGGGTCTTAGGGACAGTGTTCCACTGCCCACCTCCTCCCTCCCCGCGCTAGGAGGGTGAGGAGAGGCAGCCCCCACTTCCGGAGGACGCTGATAAGGGAAAGACCTGCCCTCCCGAGGCCGCCCAGTCCCTGGCACGGCAGGGGGCTCCAGGACCACTGCCAGGCCCAAACTCCTGAGTGCGCCTGTCCTGAGCCTGCAAAACCATCCTGGGCTCCTCAGTGGCCTGGAGGATCAGAAAGCTATCTCTACGCTGTCTGTAATTTCTGTAATTTTCTCCTGGTTTTTTTGTTTGGGGGAGGGGGTTGTTGTTTTTTTTTTTAACCTTAGCATTTAGACAAGTTCCTTTGGGAAATGTCAACCTGTTTTGGCTGTAGTAAGGGAAAGGAGGGTTTGTCTGTGCGCCGAGCCACCTTAAAGAGGAACAGCATAGCTGGGGGCCGGGCGTGGGGGTGCTGGTGAGGCAGCAAGGTGCGGGGCGGGGGGCTTCCAGCAGCTGCTCCCCTCCTGCAGGCCCACCTCCCACATCTCCTCTCTGCTCAGACTTAACACGCTTGGGGTCAGTCCCTCAGAGGCTGGGCTCATCTTCTGCCCTCCAGGCACCTCCCTCCGCCCAGTCTGCCTGGGAAGCGCTCAGAAGGACAGATTTCTCCCTCTCCCCTCTGGAAACATCCCTGAATTTCGTCCGTCCCTAGAGACGTCCAGCTTTCTAAGGCAATCGCAGGCTAAATGGGACCCTGCAATGCATGAAGACGCTTTAGGAGAGCTCGTGTTCGGGGCAGGGGCAGCCCTGTCCACCATAGCCCCGGCCCTCCTGGTAACATCTAGGTATTTTAATACTCATGGTTTTTAAATGCTTCCTAGAGAAGCCATGGGATTGGCATGATGTCATAGAATAAGCACAAAAAAAAAAAAAATGCAAACTGAAAAAAAAAACAAACCCAGCACCAGATAGCACGGTGGGTCAAATGGGACGAGACCCTTAGCTAGCGGCTCTCAAAGGCCAAAGGGTCTGAGGCGCCTTCCTCCTAGAACACTCTGGGACTCTCCCACTTGCTCCTGCGGCTCTGGATGAGTAGTGTGACCTCTTCAGGGGCTCAACCTTCTCACTCTTTGAATTTGGTTTCCTCATCCTCCTCCCAGGTGTTGATTCTCTGGTAGAAATTTTAGCCCCACCCCCACCCCCAACAGACCAACAAGGGAAGGGAGCTTAGCTGATGCTCAGCTCAACTAGAGTAAATAGCAGCCACATGGGGCACACGCTCCGCCCTTCCTCAGAGCCTGCCTTCCCTGCTCTTCCTTCAAGCCAGGATCAGTGCTTGTCCGTGGGAGAAGCTCCAGAGAGACCCGAAAGCCTCTGAAAGCCACTAAGCTCTCCGCTCAGGGCCCCCAGTGACGGCCTCCGCTGAGCCCTGGGGCAGCGGGCCCCGTGATGGCGGCAGGAAGGGCTGCAGACTTTCCACAGCGAGTCCCTGGGTTCGCACCCATCTTTGCCAAGCGGGCCCCAGCTGATGAGAAAAGACTCCCCAGAGGGAGAGGGCGGGGAGCCGAGCCTTCCCACCCTGATCAAGGCTGCGGATCAGACTTTCCACAGTGCTCTGCGCACACGAACTCCCTGACCTTACGGGCCGCCCCCACCCCCTCCCCACCCCTCCCACACCACACAGAGGAGAGACGCCTGTTTATCACTCTGGGTGGGACCCAAGCCTGTGGGGAATTGAAAAGAAACAGCCAGCTTAGGTTGCTATTGTTGTGTTTAAACAAACCGTTGGCTGGACTGACTTGGAAAGGAATGAGGGGGAGGCTGGGAGCTCAGAGCCGGGCTGGGCCGGGCTGGGCCGGGCTGGGCCGGGCTTCCCTGGGCTCAGCCATCTCCTCTCCATCTTGCTAGGGTGGCCAGAGAGCTATTTTAGGAGAGTGGCTGCTAGACCTCAGGCCCTTAGCTCCTCTCCCAGGAGAGATGAGACTTGAGGAGCCTGCGCTCCCTACCTGTTCCACGCACCCTGGCGCCCACAGCATCTCAGCCCCTGGCCACGCCTGGGCTTCATGCCAGCCCTGCGTAAGGCAAGGCCCGATATTGGGGGAGTCAGGGGCTGAACTGTGAGGGGGCCAGGGCGAAGCCAGAGTATGTGTCTGAGGGCCCGAACTGGAAGGCGGCCTGGGTGCTCCCGAGCAGACAAGACCGGGTGAGGGAGGCGGAAAGATGTCCAAAGACAGACGTCTCACCTGCCGGGGTGAAGAGAGCAGAGTGGGAAGAGCTGGACGGGCCCATCCGGCCCTCAGGAGGCCCACAGGGAGAAGGGTCGGCGGGCAAGCAGCAGCCCAAAGGCGGGAGGGGGCGGTTTCTAGAACAGGGCAGTGGGGTTTCAATTTTGTAAAAAGTAAACTGCACTAGAGGCTGGGCCACCAAGCCGCCCCTAGTATTTTCCACAGAGAACTGAGGGGTAATCTCCGGCTCCCCCGCAAGACCCCTCCCCACTCGGCCCCACCCCCCACCGCCACCCCGAGCACCCCACCCCCACCTGGAGAAGCTCTGTCAGGGGAGAAGCAGGCCCTGGTGGAAAGGTGTCCAGAGCACAGTTAGGTGTTGGCAGAATCAATGAGGAACGGCGCTAATCACCATCATTAAGACTATAAAACCCCACACCTAGGGGCCGCAGGGCGCCCTGGCATGGCGGGGCCCCGAGCTGTGGCACAGACCCAGCAGCCCGGCTCCAGTCCCTTTCATCTGAGCATCTCCCAGTCCTGCACAAACATTAATTAACACCCGCCCCCGGAATCGCCTCATTATCCCACAGACATTGAGCAGAGGGTTGAAGGGAGGGGAAGGAAGAGAAGGAGGGAAACTGAGGCTGTCCCAGCAGCCACTGAATCTGCCTGGAGAGTGAGGCCGCGTCCGGTGGAGGCCAGCAGAGAAGCAACCTCGCCATGAGGCCTCCTCCTCCCGCCCCGGCCCTTCTGGTTGTTCAGGCCATCATTGACCTCCTGTCCCGAGGGCCTGAAGGATGGCCTGGCCTAGCAAGTCTGGGGACTGTCCAGAAATCTGACCAGACCCCATAGGCGGAGAGTGTGACCTGTGTCTAGACTGGGGGCACAAATGGCAATAGTGGGGCAGTCAGCCCATCATCAGGAAGTGTCTTCTCAGGCCCCTCAAGGGGTCAGCGGTCCAGCCCTCCCCACTGGGCCATCCTCGGTCCTGCTCGTGTCTGCCCTATTGCCCCGGGTCCCCTGAGGCACCACCCTAAATCCCGCAGCCCATCCGAGCAATGTCTCCCCAAAGCAGGCGAGCGTTCTGCCCCCTCCGCCCAGGAGTAACCCCCGCCCCCGCCTGTCTCTTGTTTCAGGGCTCTGACATCAGGGAAGGGAGGATACAGGGCCAGGAGATATCGCGTGAGTAAGACCCTGCAAGGCCCCTTCCCCTAGCCAGAGCGACGATGGTGATCGCCAGATAAAAACACAGCTTCGCAGAGCACACGGCGCAGACCCGAGAGTTTACATACGCGCTCTGATTTAATCTTCATCATTTCCTTTGAAAGTCACTCTCATTGAAATCTCCATCTTACAGAGCATGAAAGTAAGGCCCAGGCCCGCCTGCCCTGTGTCACCAGCTAGTGCGATGGCGCCACATCAGCTCAGGGCTCTCCTGGAGCGATGGGCGGCGTCACTCCTCCCGCTGCCCACCTCTGGTTTCCTACCCCAAGCCCTGCAAAGTGGCTGCGTAGGCCTCCCTCTTCTCCGATGCCCCCCTCACCCCATCCTCACTGCCGGCTCCCCCACCCCTCAGACCCCGGCTGCGGGGGCAGGTGCTCCACCGAATTACAGGGAATGCTCCGGGGGCGAGCTGGCCTCTGGCAAAGGGCTGAGCAAGACGGCGAACGGAGTTCCATGGTCCGGTAAATCGGCGTGGCTCAGGCACCGGCCAGGCCTAGATTCAAACCCCAGCTCCGCCACTTACTGTCGGCCTGACTCAGCTTCCTAGGGCCTGAGTCTGCTCACCGAGAATGGCAAAAACACCCCACCTAACCTACCAGGTTGTGGGGCGGGGGGGTAAAAAGATGTCACGAGCCAAGCACTTGGCCAGGGTCAGGCCCCGAGAAGTGGCCCAACCTGTGTGTCCCCTCTCTTCCTCCTCTTGCCTCTCCTCTCACTTCCGGAAGGAGAATTCTTCAGGGAAGCTTCCTAATGAAAGGGACCCGGTCTGCATCTCCCCTGCGGGCAATTCCCAGCCGCAGAGAACCAGAGGGTTACAACTCCAGCCTCATCCCCATGAACCACTGTCACCAGCCTCTGGCAGCTGGGATACAGCCACCCTCAAGGGCACTCGGCCACCCACACCCCCCGCTGCCTTGCCCAAAGCTGGCCCACCACCTCTGCGCTCCACATCCCATGCGCACAGAGACACTGCGGCACCCACCTGTGCTCAGAAGCCTCCCTCAGCGCCAGCCATGTTTGTGAGAAAACACTGACTGACTCACATTTGCACATACTGCCAGGGACCCCCAAGAACAGCCTCAGCACACATGCGCCTGCCCCAGTGGAGACCCCACATCACACAAACCCACGTGGCTCCTGGATCACCCTGCGCTGTTCTCACTGCGAACACACACACACACACACACACACACACACACACACACACACACAGTGTGATGCAATCTAAAAATTCAGGGAGAGATGAATAGTCAGGAAATCCCCTGGCTGTGGGCAGGCCGGAGGCCCCGGGGCCGGAAGGGCACCGTGAGGAACACTCCACCAGCTTCAAGCAGCAAGTGGCTCTTGTCTAATGATCAGGGGAGGGAGGTGGCCATGAAGTACCACTACTCCCTCCCACTGGCCTCCTCATTGAAAACGCTCCATCCCCACCCACCCCCAGCAAGATTCTTGGCTCCTTGGACAGGGAGATGAAGAGAGCCGGGGGGTGGGGGGAGGAGGAGGAGGCACAGCGCTCTTGGAAGGGGGCCGGGCTGGAATGGCCCGGTCTGGCCTGCAAAGCCCCGGAGCCCTGCAGAGTCTTGGGGGAAGGATGAGAGATGTTCCTTCTCCATTTTGCCCCCACAGAAAAGACCTGCCTCCTATGCAGACAGTGAAAGGGAGAGAGATAGCCTCCTCCGGAAGAGCCTGAGCTGGTTCCCATCGCCCCAAGCACCCAGGTCTTATGGCTTCCATGATCAAACCTTTGAACCGAGTCCTACACACCCCCGTAACCACTTCCAGATCCTCTGGATCCAGCCAAGAAATTGACTTCTTTGGGGATTGAGTTCATAAGGAAATGCTGAAAAAATAAATAAAAATCCACTGCCAAATGTACTCAGAGGAAGATGGGTTTTTCTCAAGGCAGGAAACCCATCATCAGGGTAGACTAAAGCAAAAAAAAAAAAAAAACAGCAACAACAGCCACTGGCCCAGAAAGGCCCAGGTGCCCACCAGCACCCCAGACCTTCACAGAGCCCACAGCCCCTCCTTCCCCCACCACCTTCAAAAATATGCTCTTAAAGGAAGCTACTGAGGAAGAGACCCCGCCAAAGGCAAACCCTAATGGTTTGCAATGGGTAAGCCCCAACCTGGGATGCCAGAGGGTCGGCTGGCACAGTGAAAGGCGCAGATGATCCTTTCCCTCCTGCCCAGGGCAGCCAGGAGCTCGTGGGGTCCTGTGGCCTGTGGAGCCCACCCTCTCTCCCTTTTCTGCCCACAGCCTACCAGCCTCCCACCCCTCCAGAAACTACTGGCTTCCATCGCTACCAGTTCTACATCTATGCCCAGAGAACACAGGACATCTCTCTCCTTCCAACGGAAACCTCGACTCCAGGTAAGACATTCCCATCCTTCAAAACCAGGGTGAATTCTGGGATGGATTGGATGCTCTGCACAGGAACAGGGATGTCGGGACCTTGACCTCTATCCATGAGCCTTGAAGGCTAAGGTCAAAGGGTGGTGTTTCTTGGGAGGGAACTGGAAGGAGCGTCCTAAAGGAAATGCTGGCATCAGATATGGTCTCTGGGCAGAAGCAAGGCCCAAGATGGCGGCTTTGTCCAGGTGGAGGGGTCTGTAAGGTAGGGTCCCAGAGGGAGGGACTGAGCCAGGGAGAGAAGCTTCTCCCCTGCAGCCTTGGATGGCATGTGCAGGCAGCTGCCCCACAACACTTCTGCAGGTAATTGCACCCTGTAATCGAGCCCGAGCCGGGCACGAGGGCCCTGGAATGCCACCCTGCCGGTCTGTCTTCATTGGTCATTACATGCTCTGTCTGTCTGGTGCTATTCCAGTGGTGGGGCAAGACTTGCCAGGCCATGGACCCCCCGCTTCCTGAGCCGCCCTCCTGGCACTCCGGAGAGGCCCCCCCAAGCGCCGCTCACTCCTCCAGGGCAGGGGGCAGGAAGGCCCGTGGACCCCTGGCCACTATGATGCCGCAGGCGACCTCTGCCTGACCCCGTGTGAGCCGCAGCCCCTCTCCGGGCCTCAGTTTCCTCCTCAGGAAAATGGGAAACAACACAATTCCTGTACCTTCTACCACCAGCCCCACTTTAGGGAAGGGAAGATGATGGGGAACACACACCAACTTGAGAGTACAATATGCACCGGCTGGCGGGACGGTGAGTGGGTGGACGGGTGTCGTCAGCTGTTTCCTCTCACCCAGTGGCCCAGACCCCCCTCCCCACACTGGGAAGCTGGTGAGGCATTGTTAGGAGCCTGCCGCCCAAGGCCCCGGGGAGAGGAGTGTGGAGCCCAGAGAGGCCCTGGTTGAGCGGGGGATGTGCTGAGCAGAGGCCGCCAATCGCAGAAGTCTCCGGCGTCCTGGCAGCAGACCCGGCGCAACCTCTCGCCTGGTGAACCTTCCCCGGCACTCTCAGCACCTCACCTATCTGTGAATCTGCTTCAAGAGCTTTGCCAAAGACTCTCTGAAGTCGGGATACAAAGAAAGAAGGGAGAGAAAGGCATCTCACCCAGGCCAAAATCAATTTCTCCATGTCCCTGGATCCCCATCTCACCTAAGATGTCCTGAAGCCCCTTCCGCCTGATTTCTGCAGCTCGAAACTAGCACCTGAGCCCACCACGCGCCCCTCATCCCCGCCCTGCAACGTGGGAGTCTCACAAAGTGAAGCAGTGCCCCTGAGTCCCACGTTAGACCTTAGGGTCCCAGTGCTGTGCCCTGGGCAGGACACGGCTCAGACAGTCCCCTAAAGGAGCCGCCCTTGGATCAAGTGCTTTCTGAGGGCAAGATGGAGGGGGAGGGGAAGGGCGAAGGAGGGTGGGCGTGTGCCGGAGGCAGGCCCAACCCTGCCGCGGCTGGGTCCTGAGGTTTGATCCCAGCCCACCCTCCAGAAAACACGCCACCTGAGTGCCCATCCTATGAAAGGAAGCAGGCAAGGATGCCGGAAACGTATTGGGCCTACCGGAAACCTATTATTAGCCCTTTTGGATCCTTGCCGAAACCAGGGTTCCTTGTGCACCCCCACCGCCACCCCCCTTTCATCCACGCGAATACTCAGGAGCTGGACTTGCATCTGGGCAGAGTCCCTTTGGCTTCTGTGCCATTTCATTTGCCGCCAGCGATGGAAGTGGGAACACTATCCTCCCGAATGAAGCCTCGGCCAGGGCACGGGTCCCACCGTGTGGTCCTTCCACGGGCCCTGTGCTGCGCTGGAGGCTGCGGAGGGGCCGGCGTGGCACGGCGAGTGTCCCCTGCCCTCCCGGGGCTTACAGTTGACTTTGGAGACACTAAAATAACAATGCAGAGCAGCTAGCTAAAAATTAAGCACTTAATTGTGTGTTTCTGGCGGTTGGGACGACTGAAGAATGTGTAGACTTAGGGATAGTCTTGTCCCTTCCTAGGATCCCCGTCCCCCTAGGACACCCGCCCTCGCCAGCCAGGAAGGGTGCAGAGGTATCTTACCGCAAGGTGAGGAAATCCAGATTCCAGCCTCTAGCTAGTGATTTGGCTTTGGAGCAAATCACCTCACCTCTCTGAGCCTCAGTTTCCTCATCTAGAAAATGAGCGGTAGATCTAGAAGATCTACAAACCTATGAGGAGCGGGTGGGGGCTGAGCTGGGCCCTGTTGAAGGAGGAGATTGAAAACCCTGAGCGAAGGAGAGAGGGGAGAGCGCTCTGGGCTGGGAAGCCTGCAGGTGCAAAGATGCACACGGGGAAAACCAAGCGAGAAGGAACACTGCTTGTGAGGGGCAGGGATGGCGATAGAAGGATAAAACAGAGGGAGGCTGCGGAGGCTCCGGCAGGGGGGGCTTTGGTGGGTGCTGTGGACAGCCACCAGAAAGTGCCCACAGGAGAAGAAACGCACAAGCCACTCCTCGGAGCTGAGTAACCTGGAGTGGTGGGCAGAACTGACCAGAGCGGAGGCCCGCAGGCGCCGGGGGCCTGGCGGGGCCTGGCGCGGGCAAGCGCAGGGCTGATTGCGAGAGCCCTTTCACAACGCCGGAGCCCGAAAAGGCCTGGCGCCCCAGGAGCACCTGCACAGAGCTCAGAGGACACGCGCGGGGGCCCGGGCTGGACTGGCCCTCGGGAGGCCAGGACACGAAACCCTGCCAATGGGCACAGGCCCTGGGGTCTGCCTTGGTCTAGTTTTCTTTCCGTGGGAAGGAGCGGTGTGTCTTGGGGCGTGAGTGGTATAACCAGCCACTGTGTCGCTGGATGAGCAGGCAGGAACAGCCACCAGAGACCGGAGGGGAAAGGTCAGTATGCAGGAGCCAGGTAGAGGGTATCCATGGAAGACAGTTAACTTGACCCAGTCCCATGGAGTCGCTTCCCTCCCTGGGACTTAGGTATGAATAATGGGTTTAGGATGAGAAGGGAGTGTGAGATTATTTTAGTTAGACTTTTATGACTCAGTGGGAGCAGGGCAGGGGGAGAGTGCTCCGATCCGGGGGCTGAAACCCTCTCCGGGGTTCCTCTTTGTTCCATGACTCCAGGATGACATACGTAGGGTCAGCAAGTGAGCGATGTTGACACCCACACTCCCGTGTGACCTGGGCCAAGCCGCCGCACATCCTTGGGCCTCGATTTCTACATGATCAACACAAGGGGTTGGACTAGTTGGCCTACCGCGGAGTGACCCTGAGTGGATTTGCTCCCCACTCACCGAGCTCTCCCCATGTAGGAGGCAGGCCAGGCAGAGGCGCGGAGCGGCCATCAAGCTCCCCCCGCCCCAGCCACCCCACACACCCTCCTCAGTGGAAGCCTTCAGCCAGGGCCTGGGCTGCCGGGACCACCACAAGGGCCCCGGAAGAGGGCTCGTTACTCTCTCGCTCCTGGTTTGTGACACCCTAGCTGCCCACCCACCCCCGCTGCCCGCATACTGCCCCCTCCCGCCCACACCGGTCTCCCCACCACACTTGGCTTGTTTCACAAACGCCCTCCACGTTCACTCAGACACTGCCTGGAGCCGTGAGCTCAGGGCAGCTGCGGGAGCTGCGGGCAGAGAAGTGAGCCCTGTGCACGAGTCCCTGTCCCTTGGCTGTGCCACCCGGGCAGCTCACGGAGAAAGAGCAGAGGGACGGTCAGGCAGTTCAAGCATGACCGCATCCCAAAGGGCGGGGCGCCCTGGAGTGTGTGGACCCAGGTGCGCTGCCGTGTGCCCAGGGGCCGCGGTGCACCTTCCCGGACTTGGAGCCGGCATCATCTTGGGCTATCTCCTCTCAGCTGGCCCTGCCCGCCCTCTCCTACTCCTCTGAGGCACCCACATAATATTTTGCTGGCCTTCTTTAGTCACCTGCTTTTATCTCTTTCGTATTACTCGGTCACTTTTCACTTGCACGGGCCCCGCTTCCACCACGAGACTATAAATTCCTCGAGGGAAGAGCTCACCTCTGTCTCATGTTTCCTTTCTACCACCTGTCTCTGTGCTCAGCCCACAGTGGACTTTCAATCAATGAGAGTGTTTGTGAATGGGCCGCACCCACACATGCACATTCACAAGCCTCGAGCACACAGATCTGCCCGTTCTCACACCCCCACCTTCACAAACACACCTCGCCGTCACCTTCCTTTAACACCTGAAAAGACAGCCACCTCTGTGAGCACCGCGCCCACAAAGGACAATTTCAGCATCCACAGCTTCCCTGTCCCCACCAGCCTCTCCTGCCCCTTCCTGGCCTTCCCTCACCCCACCTCCTGGCAGTGTGGGGAAGGCAGGACAGGGGCCACCATCTCCCAGGGTGAGCGAGGACGCCGAAGCCCCAGACAGCGAGTGGCTTGGTTGGTCAAGGGTCCTCAGTTAATAGCAAATTAGTTTTCTTCTGCCTTTTGCTGCAATGCCCTTTGTACCTGTCACCAGCCCATCCACACCCCCTCTCCTCCCACCCAGACCACCAGGCTCCTGGGCCCTGGCGTGGGGACAGGGAGGGAGCAAGTCCATCCCGCGGCCCTCGGCACCACGGCCAACAGCCGCGGCCGCCCACAGCAGTGCACCCACGTGCTCCTTTCTCCCGGCCCAGCGCTGTGTGGAGCTGTGGCCTGCCCCATGCCGCCCCTCGGCCACCTCGCCCAGAGGTGTCATGAGCTGGCCTCTCGCTCCTCTGGCAGGGAAATCCCCTCTCTGTCCTTCAGGATGACGTGCCACAGCTTGCTCCAGAAGCCTCTACAAGGCCATGAGCCCCCAGTGGTGCGGCTGCGCCAGGGGAGCTAACGGGCCACGCCGCACTCTACGGGGACCTGCAGAGAGGCCGCTCCTGGCAAAGCGGGGTGCGCGTGCAGAGAGGGGTCTGTCTGGGGTTCTGCACGAGGCGGCCGTAGCCTGCACTCCAGCACCTCGGAGGGCTAAATTGAGCAGCTCCTGGGGAGACAGCCGCCCACAGGGG